GTGCAGGGCCTGGAGTCAGGAAGATTCATCTTCTTAAATTCAAATCCAGCCTCAGACACTTACTAGCTGCGTGACCTTGGGCAAGTCACCTAACCCTGCCTGCCTCAGTTTTCTCATCTATAAAATGAATTGGAGAAGGAATCGGCAAACCACTCCAGTATCTTTTGTAAGGAAACTCTAAATGAGGTCAGAAGAGTTGGACATGACTGAAAAATTACTGAACAAGAACACCTTTAGTCCAGGCAGGATGAAATTAAGTAAAGATTACCTTCATAAGGAAGTTGTATATGTGAATGTATATGAACACACACACCCTCTACCATGGAATGAAAAAGTATTATCATAGTAAAATAAAGATAAAGATAACTAGTACCTAATCATTCATCCACATATATGAACTTGAGACCCTATCAAAATTTCTATTTGAAAACTGCATTTGATTTTTTATTTATACAAGTTATTTTGAATGTTTAAATATTGTCATCTTAAATTCAATCTAATTCATAATCTAATTTTAAAAAACATAAAGAACCTGAATTTATAAAACTAATAAGGGAATGAGTTACCTTTTGTAAGGACAGAATTGCTTTAAGTGTATGCAACTTCCTTCGTGAATTCAAAACAATTCACATTTTAAAAATTTTACTTAAACTTACTCTGTCAGTAGTACATTTATTACATAAAGTGAAGTGTGCCTATGGTAATTTTGCTTCAAATTTCACTTAAAACATAAGATTCCATACACCTCTATTTAAAGTATATACCAGGCTTTAATTCCAAGTTACATGATTGAGGGTTGACGCATACTTTAAAAAAACAAACCCCCCCACCCTAATGTTATGTACAATTATATGATAATACCTAACTAAACAGAAGCTCTAAAAAAGTTAACTAAAAGACTAAAGATGCTGAATTAATTGTTCTCTACAGAAAATCAATTACTATACTCTAAACCCTAGAGAGTAGTTATGCAACCTATTCCAACCTCACACTTCATTTCAAATATTGCACTATAAGAGATATGACAATAACTACAGTATCTCCTTTAGTTTGTAGGGCAGAACAGTTGTCTTTATCCGATATCATCATCAATAATCCTCTTCTATGGATTAGAGTAAACTACATCTGTGGGAGGAGGGGAGTCAAGAAACTGGTGATGTCAGCAAACACTCGTAGAGGTAAATATTTTATCTCCAGTAAGAGATGAATGTTATCTCTTAGGCACTCAGCTCTCAAACCAGTATAGGCAGAATATTTTGTCTTCTGGGAAAATACATTTTAATCTTTTAATGTTAAATTTCTTCTGAGGAGCAAGAAACAAGAGAATGAAGATTCCTCAACCTGGAGTAAGATATGATATAGTCAATTTAAATAAGGTTGTTTTAATCACAAAACCACTGAAACCACTGGCATGCTACAAAATTACACAAATACACCAACTATATAAAATTAAAAGACTAGCATTTTATTGTGAAATTTTAATTGAAATCACCAGAATTCAATTTTATTCCTACATTCATATTTTTTTTTGGTAAGAAAAAAAAAGACCTATGCTTTATGTCAAAAAGACTTTTTCAATATTTTATTTCAAATTTTACAAATGGTTTTGATAGCTCTTTTGAACTATCTTTGGTGTTTTCTTTCTAGTCCAAAGAAAAGCTCCAGCTCCTTGCTAAATCTGTATTTAAAGCACAGATGGGCAAGTCTGAGGAAGGAAATAGCCCCAGCACACTAACACCCACAGCCAAATCAGTGGTCCTATTTACTAGAGTACCCACAGATACAGAAGCAAGTATTTGGGTCTTAAAAATTCCTCATTGCATATGACACAGTGACAGACTCAGGTGATGTCGGGTTAGTTTTGGTGAACTGCTCCCCCAAATGTTCCTTTTTTTATGATTATAAAGTTTATCTCACTGAGTAGGGTTGGGGTACATATTCAAATAATAAAGGTGATGTAAAAACAAAAAAAATCAGCATAATTTTGTAGGAGAGTAAGTTCTTAAAGAATGGTAAAGGAAATCCTTGTTTTGTATCACATGTATGAACTTTGTAGGACTAGGCCACTCGGGAGTGGACTTGTGATTTCACTGGTACTGGTAACTGTCAAGTGAGGAAACTCCAGGTCAGCACATACCTTTTTAGCCACTTAGTTTTTGAGAGCTTTGTAGAGCACTTGAGAAATTAAATGACTCACTCAAAGTCACACAGCCAAATATGTTGGAGGTGGGACTTCAACCCAGGTCTTCCTAGTTTTGGAACCAGATTACCTCACTATTTACTGCCATTCTGCTTCACAACTGTTTGGCTGCAGTTCCCAGTTACATAAATTTTTACACATTTACAAAGTAATTTCCTCACAACAATCTCAGAAGGTATTTTGCTGATGAGAAAACTTGAGAAGAAGTGACTTTGCAGAGGGTTACAACACTACAATAAAGGAGACGTAGTACTGGACTCCAATTCTTCTGACTTCGAGGTCAGTATTCCTCCCAATGTAATAAACTGCTCTTGGAAAGGGAAAGTATTTTTCTGCTACTGTAATCTAGAAGATATAAAACATGGAAATGGCACTGTGACATGAATTATCTGAAGCTTTAGCTAACATTGAAAAGTAATTATTTTGTTGTAACACTACATATTGGTTTGACTTTATCTAATGGCTCCAGCTAGAAGTGAGCCCTCTCCTCCTGGAATCTCTCATCACTGATCTCTCCTCTACGCTTAATCTTATCCTAATTTATATCATGGCTATTTGTGTATGTATCTTATCCTACCCACAATTAGACTGTAAACTTTTTGAAGGCAAGGACTGTCATTGCCCCCCTTAATGCTAGTCTAATCGAATTACTAGTAGCAGGGAAGTCCAGAACTAACTGATACAATATATCTGTTACGAAAAGACATCTACTGTCACAAAACCTGGGCTATTTCCCAACTTTCCAACTGAATAACCAACCACTCTGGATTTCAGTCACACAATCTGTGAAATGGGAATAACAATGGTTCTTCCAATGTTTGCATCAGGAGGAATCATCTATCTGAATCTTCTACTGGTTTTGTTTCTCTGCTTCCTCACTTTTAAGACAGTGAAAATTTATTAATTTCCCTGCATTTTCCCCCAACCAATGCACAACTGGAGAGAGTGTATGTTTGTGTGGGAGAGGGAGGGAGGAGCAGAAATAATATTCTCGTTTCTGTTCTTTTCTCCTTAACCTCACTCCCAGTGGTACTTGATATCCCATAGAATGAATAATATTCATGAAACAGTCAGATCTTCAAAGAAGAAAGGTGCTGCATAGATTTCTACTCATGCAAACCTAATCAACTTTTTAAAAAATTTCACATATGCTTGTAAAATCTCAATTACAAAACTTTATTGAATTTCTTAACTTTGTCATCTAAAATGTGATATTCCACTTTAAAAAGCCCTTTAAAACAATCTAACAAAAATCAACTCAAAACAGCCTTAGAAAAAGCCAATCATTTGCAGTTGTCTTCCTTCTCCAAATCAAGTTCTTAGAGTTGGAAATGTCTTTCCCACAAAGCTAAGTTCTGTTGGTGCCTTGTAAAGTTCTTTCATCTTTGAAATTATATGTTTTGTCCAATCAGAAGGAAGGCCTTTTTCTGAGCCACCTCAAAAAAACACAAACGCAAAACTTGTAATCTGATACTACCAGGATGCCAAATTTGAAGATTCAATATATTCTATACCTTAAAATTAAAAAAAAAGGAAAAAAAAGGAAACATGAATGCTAACAAAGGTCTGAATTTGCCAACTGAAATAAAATATTAAATAGTTAACATTTTGGGAGAGGGGATACTGGGAGAAATTGCAGTGATGTAAAAAGCAAAAGATATCAAGATGAACTATAAAAATAAAAAGATAATTTTTTGTATTACTTCGTAAAGGTACATATATTTTCCTCATTAAAAAGTGAAATGTATTACTGCATACAAAAAAATAGAAATAGAAAAAAGAAAAATTTCAATACTTCACGTATAGAAAAATGTAAATGATGTAAAAATGATTCTAACTTAAGTCAAAACTATTAGGTTACTCATATCAGAAAGTGCACACCAAAACATTTTCTAAGTAGAGGGTGAAAAATCTAAATTACATGTGCTTATTTTCAGGAAATACCAAAATATACTTCACTTTACAGTACAGGTTTGTGGTCTGATTGTCTTTTTAAAGGAAGTCCTCAATCAATACTCAAACCATCTAAAAATTCTCAGTCTTCCTAACTCAACACACCTAAAACACCCCAAGCATTTGTCCTTACACGAAAGGGCTCTACTAGGAAACCTGTTCCACAGCACCCTCATTACTTTTGTAGTAAAAACCTTAGAAACAAGTTATTTCTTTTCTTTTCTACTAATGCGATGATCATAGACAGCTACACATGAAAACAGACATGTATCCAACCTAGGCTTGTGAGCAAGGGTCTGGAAACCAGTGAAGATAAAAATCACTAAGTACAGAAGGCGTTTTTACCCTACCGTGGGAGGAAGCAAGCAAGCAAGTCAGCCACATGGGGGGATATTTGAAGTGATGCCTAAAGACATCCTTAAGAAAAGGGGGCCTCGGAGGTATGCAGGTTTCAATGTACATTTCCCTTCAACTGCCAGAAGAGGGGATATATACCCTGGAGGCAAAGATGACTGTAGAGGTGGGGGGGAGGGGGCGCGAGGAGGGGGCGACGAAGGGATCCTTTCCAGAAGCCACAGAGTTAACACCTTCCAACCACTACCCCTCAGAGATGAGAAGTGTAAGGGGGTGGGGTGGGGGGAGGAGAGCTTCCGCTGCCATGGAGAAGGGAAAGAAGCCAACAGCACCTCCTCAATGGAGCAGGGATGAAAGGAGGGAGAGAGGGCGGGAGAAAAGGCATGGGAGGGAGGGAGATGCCGAAGGGAGCAGTGATGGGGCTGAGGGAAACCCTAACCAGACGAAGATGGAAAGGGAGAGGAGGACAGGGTGGCCGCCGCTGGGTACCTACCTGGACTTTCTGCAACGGGGTGAAGCGCAGGTCATGCACGAAGGGGTTCTTCCCAGGAGGGTCCAGCCCCTGCTTCTCGCCGCCCCCCGCCCCCGCCGCCGCCCCAGGGGAGGAGGAGGAGGAGGAGAGGGTGGAAGAAGGGGACCGGCATCTCTGGACCAACCTCATCGCAGCCCGTCCCCCCTCCGGCAGCAGCAGCGGCCGCCGCCCCCGGGGGTCCCCCGGTTCCCGCCGGGAGGTGGGAGGGGGGAGGAAGACACAGAGGGGAGAAGACCCAAAGGCGGCTTCCGATGGGGCGAGGAGGAGAAGGGAGTAGAGCGACTGCAAGGCAGGGAAGCGGGGAGGAGACACGGGGGAGGCGGAAGAGGAGGAAGAGGAAGAGGAGGAGGATGCCCCAGGCGGCAGCGGCGGCTGCTTCTCCTTCAGAGCGCGAGCAGCAGCAGCTCCTGCCTCCTCCTCCCGAGCCCGAGTGGAGCCGAGCCACGCGCACGCGCCGTGAGGGGGAAGTGGCTGCGTGACGTGTAAGGGAGGGAGCTGGGAGGAAAGGGGGCGAGTGCTGTGTGTATGTGTGTATATGTATGGTGTGTGTGTGTGAGAGAGAGAGAGAGGGAGAGAGAGAGAGTATGTGCGTGTGGGCCTCTGTCTGTGTTGGGGGAAGGGTTGTGATGAGGTGAGGAGGAGGTCCCACACCTCCACCAGGCACAGCTGCAGCTGCCACCAGCTCCTATAGACACTTGCTCACCTCCTGGGTTAGGAAGAGAGGGACTGGGGAACTCTGGACCACGCGCTTCTGCAAAACTTAAGCATGAAGGTCTGGGTTCTATCGTTCTTGCTGTGGGACAGGGGCAGGGTGGGGCGAGTGTGGAATTGGGAAGAAGGAAATTGATCTCCCTCATCCCCATGGTAGGGGTGTGTGAGTGCTGTGGTCGAATTATCTTTGGGTTGTCATTTTATTGGATGGGGTATGGAGCGGGGGGCTGGCATTCCAGAGCTAGGATGTTGCGTGGCTTCCTGGCCGTGTGTGGTGCTGGGCTTGGGAGCTGGAGCAAGGAGATGGAGGGGGACTGACGAAAGAGGCAGCGGTCTCACAGCTGCTCCCCAGCAAAGGGTGATGAGGATTCTAATCCTAAATGGAATGTGAAACGGGAGGAAGGCAGTACTTGTCATTCTTTTTAAAGCCAAGCCGTCACTATTTAGCTATCTCTAAACCATAGATGGCGAAAAGTTAAATGGAGCACACGTGTGTAAACCACTGTTGACTAATTCAATACAGTTCACGGAACAGTTATTGGATGCCTATGTGTTTTGAGGGAGATATACAAATAAATAAGACAAAACCATGCCCTGAAATAAGCTTATTTTTTTCTTTATGTATTTTTAATGGCCTGGAATGGGCTAAGTTGTATTATCATCATCATCAACAGTTACATAAAGTCCATCTTCTTTGCTATGAAATCCTATGCATGCCACCTAAATTGTGTAATATAACCAGACAGAGGTATACCCATAACCCTACATCCCCTTCTCAAGTGTATTTCTTTGTGGAAGGAGTCCTCTGCTTCTAGAGTCAAAGGACCTGGGTTCAAATTCTACCTCTGACACAACCTGTGTTATCTTAGCTAAGTCATTTAACTTCCACAGTTCTCAATTGCTTTGTATGTAAAATGAGGGTTTTGGTCTTGATGGTCTCTGGGATTTCTTCCAGCTCTAAATTTATGTCTTTGATCCTATGATCTTAATGACTCATTTCTTTCGTGAGGGTGAGACCAAAACTTCATTTTTTTCAGACTTTTCTGGTGCCGTATGTATGCATACAAATATGTGTGCCTACATAGATGTATATAATATGTTGTGCATATATACATGGATATATATATACATATACATATATATATGTGCACATAATACCTAAAGCCTTTGTGTATTGTTAAGCTTCAATGGCTTAACACTGCACAGACTTTTGGACTACCACACACACACATATGAAAGGGACAATAACTCCTTAGTTTTGTCTCTGTGCCTCTGTTAAGGTGAGAGACACTACTACAATTGATCTATGTGAGAGAGAAGAAGGGGTTTGGGAGTCAAGTAAATGGGGGATCCTAGACCTAAGAGCTTTTTGGCAGTTGCTAGATGATTAAGAATGCAGCTGAATATTATTAAAATTGGAAGCCATAAAGAATGCTCACCATAAGTAGAATGAATTCTCTGACAGAGAGAACCAAGCCCCTGGACCAGGAAATTTGGTCCAAAGAAAAGATTAAATGAGAATAAAAGTTGGCTGGGAGGACTCTCCTCTGTGTCTAATCAATCTTGGTAACTGGCAAAAACTCTTCTGCTGAAAATGGAGGTCTTCTAGCCTGTAGTCCACTTGAGTAGATCAGGTTGGGCTGGTACCTCAGATTTGAGGTCAGAATAAAACGAGACTCTTCCATCTAATGGAAGGTAAAAGGAAGTTTACTTAAATGTAACAGGACATTCAAACCACAGAAAGGGTATTCAGCCCAGGATACAACATGGTTTCAATTGCGTTCCCTGCCTTTATGTTACCCATGGTAGGCTGCTGGTCAAGTCTCAGAGATGTGTTGGAATTCATATTTGTGTTTTATTTTTGGTACCGATGTGATTAGGACCCTGAGCTAGTCAACTCTGAAAAACAGTTCCAATGCCTTTTGAGGAAAAGAATTATTCCCAACCACATTGTTAGGGATTCTGGTAGATATTTCTCCTACCACATAACCAGAACTCTGGAGAGGAACATATTTACTCCTTGAAGGAAAAAAGCCAGTATGGTTTCTTTCTTCTCTTCTCTTTTTTCCCCCACTTTTGCTTGTACTGTGGATGAAGTAAAGGCTGTTGCTTTTCCTAAAAGAGCTGAAAAAAAGTTTGGGTGTTATTAACTGAAGGAACATGGCAGAATCTACTTTTCTCATGAGGAAGAGAGAGCGCTAAAACAAAGCACATCAGCTGAAGCTAGAAACTGGCAACAGAGAGAAGCTCCATAGCCAAATATCTAATGGGGCCATGCCTGGCAGCATTTGGCAGAGATTATAAAGCTAGTGGAGTTGCATGATGACATCAACAAAAGACATTAGCAGTCCTGCAGCAACCAAGGCGTGAATCACCCAACCATATGTATTCCCTTCCACACATGCTCCCCATATATGTGTCTCTCCATACATGTCCCCTGTGTGTGTCCATTCTTCCCACTGATAGTGTGTTCTAAGTATATAGATGAAATTTGTAGGGTGGAAGGGAGGAAAGGGCTACTTTTCCTACAATATTCTTTTATTAAATGCCTGTGCTTTGAATTAATTGTGTCCCTTGACTGACTGTTAAGCACATCAATGGGGTTTCATAAACTGGCTGTGGAGTGGACACAGATGCATAGATTACAGGGACCCATCCTGTAAGTTGAAGGGTACCCCCATTTGAAACACTTTTATCATTTTGTTCTTTCCCCCTCCCCCAAATTTTCCCCTCACATGTTTCCAGGCTTATAACCCATTTGAACCTTTTACTAAAGTGGAGAAAAAGTCAGTAAGGAATGCCTGAAAGTAGAATAGTTATGTCTATCCCTGTTCTTACTTGAAGATTTGTTACAATAACACTTGCAGGCTATGCAACATAATTTGGCACTTGGTTAAGTAACTATTTTGGATTGTTGCTCTTAAGGAAACAGGTTTTCCTTCTAGACAGATAACTCCTCCACCCAAAAGTCTTCAGTGGACCCCTGGGGCCTGCTAAATAAATCCTAGATTCCTTAGTGTTCCACTTTCTCCACAATCTGGTGCCACCCTATCTTCTGGATTTATTTTAAACAATACACACATGTGTATACACACACACACACACACACACACACACACACACTATTAAGTCTAAGCTAAACTGTGGTACTTGAATCCCCCTCCCAATGCTGCCAAAGTCTCATACTTTCTTACTATTTCTAGGTGGAGTGCCTAGAGTACTGGATTTGGAGGCAGGGAAGGCTTGAATTCAAATCCTGCCTGAAACATTTACTAACTGTATGACACTGAGAAGTCACTTAACTATTCGTAGGCTTCATTCCCTCACCTATAAAATGGGAATAATAATAGCACCTAACTAACTCAAACGGTTGTAGTGAAGGTTTAGATACCTTATGGAGAATAACTTGCAAGCCTTGAAGCACCATATAAATGCTGGTTATTATTATTGTTATGTCTAGAAGGTTGTCTCCTTAACTAATCTTTTTTTCCCTTTCTTTTATTTTTATTTTTTATTCTTTTTATTTTTAGTTTTCAACATTCACTTCCACAAGATTTTGAGTTCCAAATTTTCTCCCCATCTCTTCCCTCCCCCGACCCCAAGATGTGCATTCTGAATACCCCTAAAAATATGGAATGCTTCATGAATTTGCGTGTCATCCATGCTAATTTTCTCTGTATTGTTCCAATTTTAGTATATGTGCTGCTGAAGCAAGCACCTTAACTAATCTTTTAAGAGAAAATATGTGGTCTTATTCTGATTTTGTAACCCCCACAGTGCCTAGAACAGTGCCAGAGTTGCAAGTGCTCAGTGAAGCAGAATGTAGAAATTATGAAGGGTGGAGAAGTTCCTGAGTTTTCTTATAAACCTTTACAAGAAGGAGACGAGGGGCAGCGAGGTGGCGCAGTGGAAAGAGCACTGGCCCTGGGAGTCGGGAGGACCTGAGTTTAAATCCTGCCTCAGACAATTGAAACTTACTAGCTGTGTGATGCTGGGCAAGTCACTTAACCCCATTGCCTAGCAACAAAACAAAATACAAGAAGGAGATGGCAGAGGAAGGCAGTCTATTTGTGAAGAAGAGGGAGTTCTAGTCAGAAGTTAGAGGTATCTTCATTTCTTGATTCCTAAATGTGTATGTATATTGGTCAGGAAATTATTCTAGTTGGTGAAAGGATTTTTTTTTTTAAGATCTCTGATGTGCAGCACAGATAAATCAGTAGAGTAAAGACATTACTTAATAACTCCATACAGATTTATAGAAATTTCACAATAGTTGGAGAGGGACAGAATTGTTTTTTGTATCAACAGCTGAATTTTTATCTGATGTTCTGGACAATGGTGCAGCATTACTTAGGATGAACTTCTGAGGAAGGAATGCAGAGTGAGTGAGGAACTGAACAGCCACAAATATGGGAAATATTTCCTTTTGTGTCAATTACTTCTGTGTCCTTGGAAAATGAAAGAGAAATTGTCCCATCCT